ATCGGAAAAATGTTTGTTTGAAACATTGAAAAAATTAAACAATTAATTGTGGTCCACTAATCAATTATAAATAAAGATTAAATTTAAAGATAGATTTAATATTGTTATTACTTAGTAAACAATTTAAAAAGGATAAAATAGTCTTCTGATCATTTATTCTTATTCAGTCCGTTCAACCAAACATTGGATTTGCTAAAAATAGTGCTTTCTAGACATCTAATCTTATGAGAAAACAAACACGAGATACACATTCAATCTAACCAAATAGTCAGGAGATTTCACAATCCCAAAATTCAAGTCCGATGGATTCTAATTCCCCCATTATCCAGTCTATCCAATCAAACATCCCCTTAAATTATTAAGATATTATTAAAACATTTTATAATTGATAAAAAACTTAAAAATAAACGATCTCTCTAAAATTAATGTTAAATAACATTCTAATAATTTAATATAAAACTTATTCCACACTACATAAACAACGTAAAATTTATCTTTTTAAATAATGCATTTATTATTTGAATGTTTCTTTTAAATTAAAACAAATTGATTTATTTTTTCCTAAAAATTTGCATTACTTATCTATTCATATATTATTCTTAAATTTTTATTTTTATTTTGAGCCATTAATTTTCTAGTCAATGCAAATTTAAAAAAAAAAACACAAGTTAATATTTTTTGCAAGATTAAAAAAAATTAAAAAATAAATAGAGAAGTAAAAAAAATCTGACTTCCCCTTAGATTTCTTACAATTAAAACCAAATTCATTCATTATCAACATTAATCTTAATCTTAAATGCACTAAATTTAATTTACCCTATTAAATATATATAAAATTATTATTTATTTTTCATAATTTTTTCAAAATATAAATGTAAGTTTTTGACTCTATTTTTTTCATCAAATTTAAATTTGATAAAAGAAAATATGAATAATGAGAAATGCTCTTAGGGTGTGTGTATTGTTATGTTACTTATTTTTGTAACAAATATTTTATAATTTTTTGATAGAGTTAACTTGTAGTTCAAAATAAAATTACACATTATTTTTGATAATTTTATTAAAAAATTACATAAATTTTGTCACAAGTAATATGTAAAATAAAAATTAAAAAAGAAAAATAAAAAATATCATATCAATGTAAAATTTAAAAAATCATTATAAATAAATGCTAAACTTTGTCAATATTAATAATTAAAAGGGATATTATAAAGTATCCTCATCAAAATCTTACTTTGATCCATTCACTTTCAATTGTAACAGTCAACCCCTTACATTTTAGTCAAAAAATAACGGCAAAAAGGTCAATTTTTTTCTCTACTTTTTACACGTCATTTTGTGAAAAAAATTAAAAAATAGGCTCATTTGGCATGTCAATTTAAAATTAAAATAGTCACAAAAAGACAAAATAAGATAAGAGTCAATAAAACAAAATGTTACATTCAAATCATAATTTTTTTTTCCTCTCATTAAAGTCAAAAAGTCAAAAAAATCTAACACAAACAAATTTTTTAACATCAAACTAAAATAATTAAAAATTCCCATATGAAAGCTAAATAGCTAATCTCAGAACAATCTAATGCCATCTTGCTTTGAGGAATGCCTTGAGTTTTTCAACCCAATTTTATGGCGTGACAGGCATTGTTGGAGAGGCTTCCTTTCTTGGTTTTTGCTTGGCTTTGGCCTCCATTGTGCCGGGAAAAAAACTTTCAATCTCACATTTTCGTTCATTTGTCGTTAATAAAATTAATAAAAATTAAAAATAGAGGGAATAAAATGAGCTTTCGGTGAAAATATAAAAATTAAAATAAGATTTTAGTAAAAATCGAAGGATGGTAATGAGAAAACAAAAATATCACATATGCTTTAGATGACAAATTTGATCAACTTTGTTAATGATAGATGAATGGAAGGGTGAGATTGCAACTTAACTTAAAGTATAAGGAGTTGAATGTTAAAATTGAAAATGAATGGAGTAAAGTAAGATTTTAGTGAAAATACATGAATACTAAGGGATTGCTTAGTGCCATTTATCTAAACTACTTATAGGTTTTTGATTCTAAGAGTTTGTGTCAGACTATATATTGTAACTTCGACTTAGGCCTTATTTGGGCTACACTAAAAAAGTCAAAAAATCAAAAAGTCACTATCTTATTTAAGTCACATTATCTTATTTAAGTCAGATCACATCTCTACCACATCACTTCAAACCCAACCCATACACAACTCATATTTTACAAAAAGTCAAAAAGTACATTTATTTAGATCATCCCAAACCACCCTTAGTTTATTAGGAAAAAATAACTTAAATAATTTTCAAAACTAACATTGGGGTTGTTTGGTAGCACTTGGGGGTGTTTGTTTCAGCTTTTCAAAGCTAATTTATGGCTTTTAGCTTTAAAAAAGTTATTTTGGACTGTTTGGTTAAACTTATTTCAAACAGCTTCTGATTCTAACAGCTTATTTTAACTCAAAAAAACTGATTCTGAGAAGCTGCTCACCCTTTGCTTCTGATTATCAGTTTCTGCTGTAGACATGTTAATTTATGATTATATTCTTAGATTTTTTTATTTTTTTATTTTTTTAAAAATAGAAAAAGACAGACTCAAATGGACTATAGATTATTATTATTATTTTTTATGAGAAATGTAGACAAACAAAAAATAAAAATTAATTGAAAAAGCTATTTCACAGCTTATTGAACAAACACTACTCAGCAACTTAAATCTATAATTTAACAGCTACACCAAACAGATTAACAACTTCGGATTAAAGTCATAATCTATAATCTGTTAAGCTATAATCTATAAGTTGTTTTAACAGCTACACTAAACGGGGCCTTAAAAGCAGCTTAAAGCTACTTTTAGCTTAAATTAAGTCATTTTTGTGTGTTTGGTAAAACTTAAAGGGATAGATTATAGCTTTTATTAAGCTATTTTCAGCTTAAATTTATAAACACCTCAAGGGGTGCTTCTTGATTCAGCTTATACGGGAAGCTGAAATTAGAGATGTAAAATGACTTAAATGCCTTTCCTAATTGATGCTAATTACAAGTGTGCCATGTATATAAATCATTTCTCACTCATTCTTCTTCTCTCACACAAACGAGAGAGGCGATTTTCGGCAAGCTAGGGTGATTTTCGGAGAGCATTCCGGTGACCGAACTCTGTCTCTTCTCTCTCTCTCTCTCTCTCTCTCTCTCTCTTTCTCTTCATCTCTCCCTCTCTGTCTCTCTCCCTTGTCCTTCGATCGCTCTCCATCGCAATTTCAACCATCACGATCTGAACCATCTGGATCGACAGCGTAAACCCGTCTGTCTCCCTTTTCACGATCAACGCCGACGCTGAGATGAGAAGGAGGAGATCTGAACCATCGCGATCGATGCTGGCAGTGAAATGAGGAGGAGGAGAAGAAGAGACTGCAGGCGGGATGAACCATCGCGATCTGAACCTTAGCTCTCTCTTGCTCTTTCTGTGGATCTGAATCAAATCCTAGCGCCGGTTCCTCCCGCCGAAGCTAGGGTTTTCATTTTTTTTTGAGGTTTTTCAATGTTTTTTTAATAAACAGAAAAATAAAATAATTAATGAATAAAAATAATAATTGATGCTAATTAATTGAGACTAATTAATTTAAAATGAAAAAATTTTATATGTAATTGATGGAAAAATTAATAATAATTGATAATATTAATATATGTAATTTATGTAATAATTGATGAAAAAAAATAATATTGATGGATATATGTAATTTATATTAATTAATAATATTAATTGATGGAAAAATTGATACATTAATATAAATTGATGAATATATGTAAATTGAAATATTACTAAAAATAATTAAAATGATACATTAATATAAATTGATAAACATATATAAAGAATAATAATGATACATTAATATAAAGAATAATAATGATACATTAATAATGATACGTTAATATAAAGAAAAAATGAAATATTACTAAAAGTAATTAAAATGAATAATAATAATAATAAATAATTGGAAAAATTGATACATTAACATAAATTGATGAATATATATAAATTGAAATATTACTAAAAATAATTAAAATGATACATTAATATAAATTGATGACTATATGTAAACTGATAAATTAATATAAATTGATACATTAATATAAAGAATAATAATGGTACATTAATATAAAGAAAAAATGAAATATTACTAAAAATAATTAAAATGAATAATAATAATAATAATAATAATAATAATAATAATAATAATTAAATGGAAAAATTGATACATTAATATAAATTGATAAATTGATGAAAAATTGATGAATATATGAAAATAATATGTAATGAAATCACAACATTAATATAAATTAGAATATGAATATTAATTTTAATGAATTAATATATTAAAAAAAATTAACAAAGAAAGAAGAGACGAAGAAAAAAAATTAAAAAAGAAAAGAAAATAAGGTGAAAAAGAAAAGAAAAGAAAATAAAAAAATGAAAATGAAAAAAATGTATTATAAATGAAATTACAAATTTTATATCTTATAAGGGTAAAAATGACAATTATACATCAAAAATTTATTTTACAGCTTATTTATCAAACACTACTCTGCTGCTTAAATCCATAATCCCACAGCTGTCCCAAACAGGTTACCAGTTCTACCAAACGGGACCATTGAGATACTTTTGATTTCTACTTTTAAATTATCAATTTTTACTCTAGAATAAGTTGCACCAGACTGCACTTCAGTGTAATTTATCTTAAATAAAATTATTATTATTTTTTATAAATATGTAAGGATTTTTTCAAATTAGGGTATTAAAAAAAGGAAAAAAAAAAATTTGACATCTGAATTAGAAGCAACTTTTTAGCTTTTTAATTTTTTTAAATCAAATCATCTCTTTAATTTTTTTACACATTTTTTTTTAAAAAAAAAAGTAAAAAAAAAAATTTGAGTTTTTACCTCTCCTTCTACCTCTGCATCTACATCCGCATCTATATCTATCTACATCTCACACTCGTTTTTATTCATTCATCAGATTCAAAAATGGAGTGCCGCATTAACACCCCCCTCCGATGCCTCTCCGGTGTGCCGTTTTTCTCTTCTCTACACTTCCCACGAAGCCTTCACTCTCTCAATCTCCTCCTTCCCTCTTCATCTTTCAATCCCAACAAGGTATTTCAATTTCACTCACTCACTCACTCACTCTCTCTCTCTCTCTCTCTCTCTCTCACTTCAGTTGTTTTTTTCCAAAACCCTAACTTTCTCTCTCTCTCTCTCACTTCCGTTGTTTTTTTCCAAAACCCTAACTTTCTCTCACTAGATATTCATTTTTATTTTTATTTTTTTTGTTGTCATAGATTTCTTACTGCTCAAATTCTCGGCGCCCTAGCTGTATGGCCGTCAAATCCCAAACGACGATGTCGGAGAAATCGATATCAGAAAATAGAATGCTGGTGAGTGTACCATCCTTTTGGTTGTTGAGAAAGTGCTGGAAAATTGAAGGGAATGAGGGAAATTTCTGATTTCTGTTTGGCATTGGAATTCATGCATTTTCTCAGTAACCAAAGGGAGCATTTAATTTGATTAGGTTCTGATATATAATTGTGTTGGTTTTCAGGTGTTTGTTCCTCCACATCCATTGATCAAGCACTGGGTTGCTGTTCTTCGAAATGAGCAGACTCCTTGCCCCATATTTAGTGAGTGACCCTTCAAGTTACTGCATCTCTCTCTCACTCTCTTTCTCTCTCTGCTATTTTATTTTGTACTACTGTTTGGTTGATTAGATAAAATTAGCTGCAAATTTTAGTAACGAATCAATAACGAAGTCGGGGTCCTTTAACATTTTCAAATCTTGATGTGGCTGCAAATTTAGTTTGCATATCGTTGCTGTGAGCGTTGTCCTCGTAATGGGAATCGTGATTCTTTACATTTGAATTCTTAGTTATAATTTAAAATCACACCAATTTTAAATTCCAGTTTGATAGTATAGATAAGGTACAATCAAAAGAACCATAATTTATGTAGAGTATGTTGTTGTAACAGATACTAATTCTTTAAATTCAAATTCTTAGTTCTACATAAAACATTAGCGTTTTGATTGAGTGGGGGGAAATGAAGGATTTGAAAGGAAATTATTTTTGACCTTGTTTAGATTGTTTTTAAGGGAAAATCATTAAATAGTCTGGGAGTACCTTGTGGCATTGTCTATGTGGTGTGCTTGGAAAATGAGAAATTACAACCCCCACTAAGTGGACCATCACTTGTCTCCCAACTACCTAACGAGTATGATTCACCATGCCCCACCAATACGACTTCCCACTACGCTATTGGTTTGGACCACCACATAGACAATGCCACGTGGTGCTATGAGAGTACCCAATGATTTCCCATTTTTAAGTAGGAGAAGGGAAGAGCATGGAGGGGTTTGTGAGGGGAGACAGGGCCCACATTTTGAGCATTTATCTTGCCCCCAAAATTGGGCAGAAACAGAGGGGAAATGAAGTGCTTGTTGGTAATATTTTTTTTGATCCCTACTTATCAATTGTACCTTTAAAAAGGTTTTAATACTTTGTTACAATAATGACCACATGTAGTCGCATCAATAGTCTTGCAGCAGAAAATATCATCGAATTGGAAGTTCGATGAAAAGTGGCACCAATTGAAGATAAGATGATGAACAATTGTTTGAGATGGTTTGGTCACATGCATCATAGACTAATTAACACAACTGTAAGGATGATTGATTTGATCCTACTCTGGTCACGAGCATCATAGACTAGATAACGTGCATGTAAGGAGAAGTGATTTGACCCGCGTGACTAGTATGTGCATGTAAGAAATGGAGGAATGCTAAGAAGAACTTGAGTTGATGTGATAAGAAAGGACATGAATATCTTAAATTTAAGTAATGATATGACCAAAAAAGAACCAAATTGGAGTAAATAGATCCATGTCTCAAGTAATTGGGACGAAAGCTAGTTGAGTTAAGTAGAGGATTTAGACAAACCATTTGGGGAAGTACAACCTTATGCCCTTCCTTAGATTCAGTTTCCAAAATATTTCATGTTCACGTGTTCGTTATGGTTTTTGTTGCTCAAAAATGTTGTATTTGTTTTCCCATTACTTTTAAAATTTTAATTTTTTTTTTCTCTATTAATACATTAATGTAATGTATGATTATAATCATTACAGAAAATGCCATGGCTGAGTTAGGGAGGCTGCTTATGTATGAAGCATCAAGGGATTGGCTGGTGAGCTAATATTCGATGCCTGTTGTTTATTTTCATACAATATTCATGCTATAGATACTTTAAAAAATAGTATATTATGTGGGTCTAATACAAAACTTAGAAAATTGGACAATCATTGATTTATAGGGGATAATAACATTATGTGAACAACTCTTTCTGTGAAGTCAATTGCAACCTGTTTATCAGTTGTAACAAGGCCCATAATAGAATTGTTGGACTGTGGTTGTTAACATTTGATTGTCTGTATCTCTGCCGAGTATGCTTCTATTATTTACTATCAAATAGTGTTGCAAGAAATACATGAACAATTAATATTATGACCACAAGAATTCATGCGTCCAAGGTACTTAACAATGCCCTCTCTCTCTCTCTCTCTACATTTCTTCTTTCTTCCACAATCTTGAGAGGACTTGTTTTCTAAGGGGATTGCGAGAAGGTTTTGAGGAGGTAGGCTATGAGTAATTTTCGGAGTCTGACACATTTGGAGTCTGTTTGTTATAGGAGGTGGTTAAAGAAGAGTTGTGTTGGATGCTTTTTTGGTTTCTTTGTTAGATAGAACTTTGAGAACGCTAAAGGAGGACTTGAAAAGTTGGAACAAGGAGGCCTTTTGTGGCTCATAGAGTGTGCTGAGAAATAAAAGAGTTGGATTGCAAAAGGGCATGGAGGCCTTTGTGCAGAAAAGAAGGCCAAGAGGAAGGAAAATAAGGTGGAGCTTCGAAAGATTGCCATATTGAAGGACATTAGATAGAGACCTAAGTTTAGGGTCTTGTGGTTTAAGTATAAATTTGAGACCAATTAGTTTTTCTGTTGCAGTACCATCATGTAATGGATTCTATCTCGTTAGGTGGATTGTCATTGAAGGGGAAGAATTGAGAAGAGAGGAAGATGTAAAGAAAGTAATTCGGCATTTGTATAGGAATAGTATTGCATTTGTGGTTTTGGTGGGCTTTTTAAAACTGAGAATTCCAATCTCTGGAGGCATTCTTTAATCTACTTTATAAATTGTAAATAAGGTAAATTACACAGACATCTCTTGAGGTTTGTTTTCATTACATAAGTACCTTTGAAGTTCTGGAAATTACATTCCCTTTTCTGAGTTTGAGTCACATTATGATTCCCCTCTCCATCAGTCATTCAATAAGTGAGCTAAAGTTCTGCTGATGTCATCAAAAATAAAAAATCAAAGTACTATGTGTAACCCAACACTACCTCACAGCATAATCAAAGCACCCACATAAACATCTAACAAGCAGATTTAGAGCACCCATACAACCAAGAGACTCAAGCCTTACCTCACAGCCACCAGCGCCAACAGAGACATCCAAGATGCACCTCCTCATGTCCACTACCATGCCGCCACCACCTCACCTAGGCTATCTATACATATATATATCGTGTAATTGCATACACACACTCAAACACAGTGAATCAAAAATTCAAACAATCAACCCATTCCCACCCAAGCCCCATAATTGCTCATATTGAAATTAAAGTAATTATGTTAGTTTAAGTGACTTTTTTTGCCCCTAATATGTCATTTTTATGTGCTTATGAATATTTTTTACTTATGTTGCTATGGTTTTATTGCTGGCAGCCTACTATAACAGGGGAGATTCAGTCACCAATGGGTGTTGCCTCTGTAGAATTTATTGATCCAAGGGAACCAGTTGCGGTTAGTATATCAATCTCGTTTTTTTACATTGTATTCTTGTCTCTCCTTTTTATGTAATGGATAATTTGAATTTATTTCTTATCTACTTGTTGTGTATTTAGTATATGAACTTCCCCACAATACATTTGTTGCAAGCTAGTTGGGGTTCCCTTTTTTAAGATTTGATGATAACCATGTTGCAAATTTATGAATGTGACCTGCTTTAGAAATTATTTAATCTTGGAAGAGTATAGCTTTTCGGTAGCCATCATCTGATGCACTATTTATTTAGCTTTGCAGATTGTTCCTATCTTGAGAGCTGGTCTTGCTCTGGCAGAACATGCATCATCAATTTTACCAGCAACAAGAACATACCATCTGGGTAAGGAACAGTTTTTACACTGTCAAGTGGAAGGGGTAATATTATTTTGATGGGCTGACTATCTATCTGTATCATTCTAGTTCTGAATATGATTCATTCATCATATAAGAATTTTATTAAAAGATCTTTATTATTTATTGCTGAGTTTCTGATGGGGCTAGGAACTTTCCAGTGAGTGTTGCATTCTCTACATATCATGTTCATATACCCATTGCTTTTATTCAATAAATTTGCTTTTATGGTTTTGCTTATTTGAACCGCATTTAGCCAGTCAAATTTATTATACCATTATATGTTTAATTCTTCATTTTGAAGTTTCATTGAATTTAAGGTAATTGACCATGTCTGTTGTTAAAATTCTTATTTATGTTTTGCAAATTTAAGGGATTAGCAGAGATGACCAGACACTTCTGCCTACTGTGTATTTGAACAAGTAAGAATTCCCCATTGTAGAAATTTCTAGGTTTTCGCTTTACTCTTCATATTATGTGGTTCCTTGCTGTTGCAAATTGTTTTCTCCTTTCTCTTTTGCTTCTGTTACGGTATGTTTTCAATGTTCTGTTATGAGATGACTTTTTCTTCCTTTCACCACATTTTTTTTTTATTTGGGGTTAGTGTTGATGCTAATCTTATTTCTCTAGTTTTAAAATCGCTCCAAGCATCATCAACCTAGCCAGGGGACAAGGTCAATGGACATTAATTCAACCACTGGTCACATGGTTGCTGTTTTTAAGTTCCTTTGTTTTTATGTACACAAGCAGTACATTTCCGAGACAGTTTTAACAGGGTTGTCTTGGTTGGTATCGCAGTCAATGAGATTAAAAACCAGCCCTGTCAAGGAACTGGCTCAACCAATTGGTCTAGGTCAGTTGGCCACTCATGTACATACATGTGCAACCCTATCTGGGAGGTCAGGGGGGTCAATCCTTGCCGAAGGCATTGATTATTTCTCCCCCCCATTATGGGGGTTCTTTGTAGGGGTGAAATCGGTGTGGTGTGGTCTGGTGTTGAGGCATTTTTGTGCCGAATCGCACCCTTTGGTTTTCCATTGAGCTGCACCGAATAGACTGAACTACTGGTAAGAACCACAAGCAGCGGTTTTACATGGGGGCGGTGCGGTTCGGTCGGGACACATTGGTTCATAGATGTTCAACAAGATCTCTACCCGAAGATGGAAGACCCAGAGAGGGTTTTGAGAGAGAAAGAGAGAGATCCAACCTTCACATGAAGAAGATGAAGATGGAAGAAGATGGAAGATGGAAGACCCACAAATCTAACAAAATCTCTGCTTGAAGTCGCAGGAAGAAGATGAAGAATATCTACCTTCCATTGGCAAACACACAAAAAGATAGAGAGAGAGAAAGAGAGAGAGAGAGAATTTGTTTTGTAGAGAGGGGCAATCACCCTCAGAAACATCCACGAGCCTTATTCATTCTTGAGCAGCGTATAATTAGATAGAGAGAGAAAATGGTTTTTTTTTTTTTTTTTTGAGCAGTGTAAAATATTGGGTAGTGTGAAGTGAAAGTGTGTTTCATGATTGGGAGTTGGGATAGATAGATGGACTGAAAGAACAATAAAAAATAGATGGACAATAAATAAGAGCAATAAGAAAGAGAGAACATATATCGGTGCCGTTCAATGTCTTATGGCTTTTAAATTATGATTATCGAAAACCGAACCGAACTTTGGCTTTTTGTTCCAACATAACTGAACAGACCAAAATAATAAAAAAAGCTGACCAAAACAGGCCGGTTCGGTCGGTCCAATTGGTTTACCAGTTTTTGTCTTTCACCCTAGCTCTTTGTTGTATTGAGTTGTTTATTTCTTCCCGTTATGGGGTTATGTCTTGTGGTGGTTTTTGGATTTCTAAGTAAGTGCTATTATTGGACTATAATTGCCTAGTTTGTTGTAATTGGCTGACATTTTCTGTTTGGCCTGCCTGGGCCAAGTCATGTTATGTGACCTTGCTTTTGATATATTTTGCATCCTATTGTGTAGGTTACCTGACAAATTTTCTGAAGTATCTCGAGTATTTGTTGTAGATCCCATGCTGGCAACAGGTATTCTTGCCATTGCTTGAGCTCCTCTTCTCGTGCTCATTTTATTATTCCCTACTAGTTTCTTTATTTTCCTGTTTTTGACAGAAGAAACCCTTGAAGTTCTGTGGGAACTCTAGCTCCTATAATTTTTCTATTATCCTTATAAAGAGTTGGAGATATAAGTACTTATTTCTCGGTCGGATATTTGTTTTCTTGGAAAAAGATTAAGACCCACAATTTTACCCACAATGGCGTGACAGGTTATGTGTCAACTTTTGATATGTCACAAAGTCAACCGTGTGAGGCCCGACTCCTTTGCCATATCTTGCTCTGCTTGCTTGATGTACAGAGACTGAAATAATAACTCTGTAGCATCAGTAGTTCAATAATTTCTTTTTAATTTTTTTTTTTTGGTTTAAAGTTTGTGGAAATGATAAAAGTAACATTGACTTGGTCTCTACTTTATATTTATTTATTTTGTTATTTTTGTTCAAATAATCTTTAGGTGGTACAATAGTTGCAGCTCTTGACTTGATAAAGGAGCGGGGGGTTGACAACAATAACATTAAAGTGGTAAGCAAATAACTAGCGCTCTCTCTCTCTCTCTCTGTTTTGTTGCTGTTGTTGTTATGTTGTGTATGCTTCTTTAAATATCTGATTATATGTGATTCTCAAAGTTGCAATTTTTATAGTGAGTTCTCTTAATGCAAGTCTCCACGCTTTTCCCAATACAGGCCATCAATAGTTTTCTTGAACTGTTTGCTTTTTGTTTCTCATAGATAAGTCTCAAGTCAAGACACTTGTGTGGGAAATCTTGCCATTTTAGTTAGAAACTTAAAATCAGATATCCAAACAAGTTTGCTTACCGGTCTTCTAGGTTAGCCTTTACAGACAATAGTGGAGTTTCTGGGATTGAGTTGTGGATTGACTGCTGACTGCATTTCTGATTGATTTTGAATCTGAAAAAACGTCGTCTATTGTTCAGTCCATGGCACATGCACTTGTGACACAGAGGATTACCATCTTTTGCTTTTTGTTGACATTTATAGACACTTAGACAGTGCACTGACAATACAAACTACCATATCACAGGTATCTGCTGTTGCATCTCCTCCAGCCCTTCAAAACCTCAGTGAGAAGTTCCCTGGGTAAATACATTTTTGAGCAAATTCTGTATAGAAAATATTCAAGTAAATCTCTCTCAGCTTTGTTTGTGATTTTCCAGGCTTCATGTATATGCTGGAATCATTGATCCCATTGTTAATGACAAAGGGTAAATACTTCCCACTGTTATAATGAAAAAAAAAATATGCCAACCCGCATGGGGTTCGTGGTGTTTTAGAAAGTTAGTTAAAAACTGACTTTTTGGCTTTTTTGTGTTAAAAAAACTGATTTTTGTGCCTTTTTTGTGTAAAAAAGCTAGCTTCTAGCTTCTTTCCAAATTGGAAAGTTGGTAAAAAGTTAGTTTTTTGGCTTTTTGGTGACTTTTTTGTGTAAAAAAGCTGGTTTTTTAACAAGTTGCCAAAACACCCAGTGTATAACCCTTGCATTGTTTGCGCAATTTTCAGGTTTATAATCCCGGGACTTGGAGATGCAGGAGACCGTAGCTTTGGTACATGAAGCCACCGTATTGTATGCCTAGCGAGGTTATGTTTTCCGTCATTGATCTGTGAAATTTTGAGCATCATGATAGAGAGTACCTGCATTTTTTCGTTTCCTTTCTTTTCAATAGCAGATTTGTTTTTTGGATTGATTGTTCATGAACAACTAATAGTGGTAATGCATCCAGGGGCAAAATTCTGGATATGGGATAGATATGTTGCTCTGAAAATGCAATTTTTGTCATTGCCTCCAACTAAGGATGTGTTTGGATTTTGGATATGTGGAGTTATTTGTGAAAGGAGAAGACAAATAAAACAGGATGCTGAGTTAATCCATGGTGTTGCCTGCATAGTGATGCTGAGAACAGTTCTTTGTCATACGTGTTCTCCATTATGAATGAACGGTGGTCGGCCCATGTTCCTTGGGCAACTCAGGACTTGCTAGATATTAGGGATATTTTTGTTCTCTCGATTGTGGGTGATAGAGGATAGTGCTAGCATTGTGCCACTTGGACGGGTTCAATCCGAGCAATTCAAATTCCGTCTGAATTTTTTTAGGATTTGAACAAGATATTTTTAAATTCGGTATGGGTTTGGGTAAAAATTTAGAAGTCTAAATTAAATTTAGACGGGTTTGGGTAAAGACATAAAACAATCTGAGCAATTCGAAATCCAAATTATACATATATAGATATATCAAAATATTAAATAAATATATATATATAAATTATTAGCTATTACATCATAATAATTTAGATTGTTAAATTATATTGAATAAATATTATATATACAAATAACATAAAATTTTACCTTTTTTATTTTCATTCATAAATCGTAAAGATTATTATAACGATATCTCTTTTACATTATATAAGTTGCTTGTTTTGATAGTATTAATGATTTTTTACATATAAAAAAATGTAAATAAAGTTAAATTTTAATAATTTAATAATGTAGCTGCTAAAAAAAAAGTACAATTTGGGCAACTTGGGCAATTTGAATTTAATTCGGGTCGGGTTTGGACAGACAATTTTGAGTTGCTTTAGGCTGACATAGGCAAATCTTAATACAACTTGGATTGGGCTTGAATAACTTCTCAACCCGACCGAATCTGCCCAAGTTATCATGCTAGTATTTGAGGAATCTGATTTCAAGAAATGGCAATCTTGAAACAATAGGTAGTCTCTAAATGCAGATGAGTATATCTTTTCATCTGCCAATGCCATTGTTTGATGATAAAGACATTATCAGAATGGTTCTTGTGGAGATCAACCACTTGGCATGATTTCAATGGGTAAGGGCAACCAGTTGCCACGTTACATCGGACTAAAGCATCGTAGCCAAGGTTAATACAAAATGACACAAATTCTTAGTAAAAGTAATTTGCAAAGAGAGTGTGTAACTGCTTATATTCACATGGCCAACTCAACACTGGCAATGTGAATTTGGTCCTCTTTGTTTTAAGAGATAGAATGGAGATAGAATGGAGGGGATTGATAGTGAGGGGATTAATAATGAAAAATTATTAATTTATTTTTATATAAAATAATAAAAAAAATATAAAAATATAAAAAATTAAACATTATATTTTAAAAAAAAATTTCAATATATAAAAAATAATTTTTTTTTTAATCATCTCATTATTTTCTAATACCATCTCTACTTCCTCTTTGCCAATCTCCCTTCCAAGGGTATTAGTAATATCAAGAGATTAATAGTCCCAAGGCTATCTCTGCAAACAAAAAGGGTATGTATTACTAGTCCCAATACCCTCTCTATAGTCTAAAACAAACGGGGCGTAGCTCAAAACAATCAACCATCGAATAACTTGTGTGGGGCAATACTTGGGGGAATTTATCAATATAAAATTTATTTTTTTAAAAAATACAATTTAACTATTTGCAGTTCTCCCATCATATTTCAATACAAATCAACTCAAATAAATCAGAACACAAATAAAAATCAAAATACTTCAATTATTTATCACTTTGTTAAATTTGTTAGTATCATTATTAGTCACAAATTAACTATGCCACAAATATAAAATTCATTAAAAAAATCTCAAAGTTTTCTCATGATCAATACAAGGGACAAATATGTACCCAAAAAAAATTTCACTTAACATTTATGAATAAATAAATACAGCCAATAAAACATGATATTAAGGCCAAGTTTGGCAACTCTGAAAAAAGTAAAAAAATTAAAAAATTACTCAAAAAGTTAAAAAGTTATCACTATTTACCAAAAAAAATTAAAAAAATAATTTTTCACACATCATACAATTCAGCCATCATGAAAAGTCAAAGGAGCTGTGCAGCGTTTGTCCCAAGTATTAGACAGTTTGGGGCAATTTTTCACACACTATTGTTCGGCCCGTGGGGGTCTATCATGGGTTCCATTTGATAATCTGAACCGTTTAATGTGTATAAATCATCGAGTACTATATGTCTGTAAAAAATCACATTGATCGGATATCGATAACTACATGATCAAATCAGATTTGTATGAATAAATGGATGGTGTTATAATTAACGATTGAAAAAAAACAAATCTGATCAGATAGCTATCGATATTCGATCAACGTGATTTTTTATAAACATATAGTGCTCGACGAGTTCTACACATTAACGGTTCAGATTATCAAAATGGGACCCGTGGTGGCCCCCACGAGCCGAACAAAACAGTCCACTACAATGCTCGAAAAGTACCCAATAATTTCTTACCAAGAATTCGGCTGCCAGATTGTACAGTTGTCATTCACTCATCTTCAATCTTCTCCTACACACTTCTTTATATAATTTTTTAATACACATTTTTTCATAAAAAGTCAAAAAGTTAACCCAAATATCCATATTTTTTTTCTTCAACTTTTTAGTCCAAAAAGACAAAAAAAATGCACTTATTTAGGACACTCTAAACAATTATAGGGACTGGCTTCGGTTTCAAACGATAAAGGTGTTGTTTGGCCCATTGAGTCTACTTCTAGGCTTTGTTTTGATAATTTGAACCGTCACATTTTAGAATTCGTTGAGTACATCATCCTTGCAAAAAATCAAGTCAATCAAATAGCAACAACTACATGTTTGGATCAGTTTTGTGTTAAAAAATAGATGGTGAGAAAATTAACGGTTCATACAAAATTGATCCGAACATGTGGTTTCCGTTTTTCCATTAACTTGATTTTTTACAGGAATAATATACTTGACGAACTCTAAAATGTGAATAATCCGGATTATCGAAACAGAACTCAAAATAGAACTAACGGGCCAGACTAGATTGTCCAGTCTAATTACAGACGAAAAACAATCTAGATCCTTAATTTATAACTCGCTTTTGATTGTCAGTTGAGTCGGAGTGATGCTGTCAACGTCTTTGCAAATTTTTCTCTATACAAAAAACGTAACAAAAATTAAAATTTACAGAACCCCAATCTTCACTGAAACAAGATTAGGCTGTTTGTTACAGAACTTACCAAAACCATCTAATAATAATTCCATTACACAATCAAACCTTTTTCAGAGCAAACCAAAACAAGGATAAGAAAATATCCGCAAAATTGGATAAACATAACCAAGCTCCCAAACAGATCATTCCAATTTTCAACCTCCACAACCACCCCCACTCCCACTGTGCTGCCAATTCTTATCTCCAGTGGTGGCAGCCACCGCACCAGCACTAACCACCGCCGCCCCACCACCCGTAAAAACCACCATTCCGCCTTCTTTTTGGCCGGCACTTTGAGTAGCCGACATTTCATTTTGACACATAGCTTGAAGGGGCAAATCAAAACCAGAGTTGCTGCAAAGATAGAACCAGAGACTTATGAATGCAATAACATTGTTGCCATTCATTTTCTTGAAACTACAACAATGGATTGGAAAACTTTATGTGTGGTCTTGTTTTGTAGGAGATTTCTATTTCTAAATATCAAGATAATTATATCAAACTGGATTTCTAAACTTTATAGGATAATTACCTCCCAACTTTATAGGAGATTTCTATTTCAATAAATAAGAGATTTCTTCTATATATCAAGATAATTATATCAAACTGGATTTCTAAACTTTATGGATAATCAACTTTGGATTTCTATTTCAATCAACTTTATGGATTGGAAAACTTCAAAAAATAACGGAGAGATTCCTATCTCTAAATATCAAGATAATTACATTAAACTGGATAATCAACTATGCAAGAAATACATACTAGCAAATACAATATTGATAAAGAGAAAAAGTCTCATGATAAAAAAAAATAAACTAGTAAGAAAAAGGCTCTAATAGAATAAAAAATAAAAAATCATGATTTTGGAAAAAATTGTTCTTGATCTCAGTTGATATTGTATATATGAATGATCAATTGGTAATAGAAAAAAATTCTTAAATATTTGGACAAGATGATTTTATTTTGAACATTTAGATAAGAAATATAATATATATTTTTTAAGAATAATATTTGGTAGCTCGAGAGTTTGCCCCCCCGAATCCCCCTAATGCCCAAAACGACGTCGTTTTGGGCATTAGGGGGATTCGGGGGGGCAAACTCTCGAGCTACCAAATATTATTCTTAAAAAATATATATTATATTTCTTATCTAAATGTTCAAAATAAAATCATCTTGTCCAAATATTTAAGAATTTTTTTCTATTACCAATTGATCATTCATATATACGCCTCCGCCGATCGTCAACTTGTCGCCTCCGCCCCCCGCCCCCCGTCTCCGCCTCCTCCTCTCTCGAATATTATGCCCCCTCCGGTCCCTCCTCCTCCTCCTTTTTCTTCTCTGATCTTCCTTCTTCTTCTGCAAAAAAAAAACAAAAACAAAAACGGCGTTGTTTAGGGTTTAGGGGGCTTTGGGGGGTAGCTTTCGAGCTACGTAGCACTGCCGATTTTTTAAACATTTAACAAAGAGAATTGAAGCCCGGGGCCTTCCAAAATCAGAGGCCTCAATGGAGGACTTTGTTGGCTCAGCCATTGGGCCAGCCCTGAGAGTTGTTTAATTGTTAGTTTATGGTTCAAGTTGGAATGGAATTAGAAGGAGATGGCAGGTTTGTTATCATTGACTTTTGAGTACTTCATTAGCACAATTTGTGTAGTGTTGGCATCAGTTAAATCAGATTATTGAATTACTTTGATTCAGTCAGAGCATACAGATGAATCAATCAGTTAGTTTTGTGAGGGCTTAGCCTTTGTTGTTCTGTTTCTTTCTTGTGTTTCTTGCTTTCATCCAATCAGAGGATATGAGGAGTACCTTTTGAGCTTTGTTGCCACTACGTGCATCAACATAAAACTGCCAACCAGTCAAATTCCAAATTTAAAAATGAGTTTAATGTTGTGTTTGGTTGGGAAATTTGGAAAGAAAAAGCGAAAAAGTGTATGAAATTAGGTAAAATTTAGGTATATTTTATTCACATTTCACCCACCTTTTTCATTTCTCTTTCCAAATCCCTCCTAAAACGCTACAGTCACTCCATTGACTCAAACTTGAATCTCTGACTTTCTCACTCTTTTCAAAAGACCGTCACATGGTCCACTAAGTATAAATGGATTAAATCTAACAAAAAAAATTAAAATTTAAATAGGTTGGACATTAATATCTATTTAAACGGTTCACCTCCACCTCCACCACC